AAGTCACTTGAAGTATGACAATACATAACAAGGAAACTTCTGCCTGATTGTAAAAGTAATACAAATCTTTAATAGAGAAAGCGCAGTAAAAATAATGAGGAAACCCTAAGGTCCCCTCAGCACCGGTGAGGTGATGTGTGCAGTTATAAATTTGCGTTGGCACAAGGAAGGTGTGGAGTCACGCAGAGAAAATGAGAGGATAGTTGTATCAGAGAGGAAAGATTAATTGTTTGTTTGCTTGTTTGAGGATCCCCAAAGTTCTTTTCATTTTCCCTCCCTCTTATTTTATTTTTATGTTGACAGAAAAGAAAAAATAAATAAAAAAGGAGTAAAAGTTACACACATTTTGTCAGGATAAACTGAAAAAAAATTGGTGTATTGGAATAACTACCCACTAAGCTGCTACTCAAATTTTCTCACATCCCCTTTCCCTAAATTGAATTCAGGAAAATAATTCAATCTAGGGAAAGGCTGCCGTCAAATAAAAATTATGTGAAGCAAAAAAAGTTTTAAAAAAATGTTCCACTGTCTTATTTTTAATGAAAAATCTGTAAAGAAAATTAATTATCAATACGTTTTTTTTGGGACTAGGGCGCTTTTGTCTCTTGTACCTCGCAGCAGTCTTTCTCTGGGTAAAATTGTTGTTTTTCTGATCTTCCTGACTGATCAAGTTATTGTTTCTACATCGTGAGAATCCCCCCCCCCCCCTCTCGGCCCGTGTTGTTGGGAAACTTCTAAGTAACGAATTTATGAACTTTTATCTGTTTCAATATCGGATCGTCTCTGATAGCTAAAATAAATGAATCGGAATTTTATTCGGTGGATTGCAGGGATTTTCTGTTTTTTTTTTTTTTTTTTTTTTTTTTTTTTTTTATGAAAATAAGAAAATTCATTGTTGTTCCATAATAAGCGGCAGGAGGATGCTCCTGCTGGGGAGAGAGCGTGAATTCGAATTACGCGGGGTCGAGATGGTAGCCGCAGCGCCAATCGGCTCTGAACGCTGGACGACTGCCGCTGGAGGCAGCGAGCGAAGACGAGAAAGAGAATCCGAAGTGGATTCGGGTTTCGTGCGATGCGAGCGAGCCGGGCGAGCTGTCAGACCGCTTGACCTTGACGACGCGCCGCCGCACATCGTAGTGAGCGGAGTGGGAGCTGGTGGGAGCGGAGGGGCGACCGTTACTGCTCAGCTGTTGCTGTCTCTCTCGCACTCATTGGCCTTTATGGGTGAGGGATCAGGGACGGTGATAGTGGCTTTATTTCCGCATTTTGAAAATCAATTTTTTTTCCTAATGTCCCGCAAGTATGCTGCTACAATTTACATAACTTCATTTTTCATAATTACATCGCATAAAATTAAAAAAAGGGTTTGAATGGCATAAATTTTAGCAGCGCGACGTGGTGGCGGTATCTTGCACTAACTTCTGTCGAATCCCCTTAAGCATGATGACCTTGATCCAACCAATCGCGATTAATCGCTCTCAGTAGTTGCAGATATCTCTCTCCCACCATGAGCTGTCTCTCTCGCACTTACAGATATCCCGTAAGAGAAACTGGGATCAAGTTATAGCTTTTATTATTAAACTTTCAAATCTCGCGTTTCTTTCTAAGGATTCCAGACGTATGCCGCTAGAACTTATGAGTCTTAGGATTCAAGATCTCTATTGTAATATTTAAATAATCACTGATTTCGCATAGAGAAAAAAAGGAGGTGTTTGCATTTCGGGCATCTTGGATTTGTTTGATGACGTAGGTCGGTACAGCGACTTAAATAATCAATTTTCTCGGAAATGGTGTAATTTTTGGAAAAAAGTCATTCCATAAAAAGTGCTTGAAATTATATCATGAGATGATTTAAGCAAAATAATGGGACATTATGGTTCGTTTTTCATACTTCGAATACCGGATTTCGCTGGCCAGGTTGTACCGACTAGGGTAACCTCGAGCTCTAGTGCTTATTAGCCGTCTTTTATTTCGTCTACAGGATTCTTCGCGGACCGCGGACCGCGGACGATCGGTGATTTTCGTAGATACTTCAGAGAGCCAATCACAGCGAGGTAGGTGTTAACAGCGCNTTACTCACTTGCTTCTCACTGATCGCGATTTTACTCACTTTTACTCACCGTTCTCAATTCTACTCACTTTTTACTCACCATTTCCCGATTTTACTCACATTGACATTGTTTTCACTCACCGATTACTCATCGTTTTAAATTTTACTCACCGATTACTCACACAAATTGCGCCAAAAATGGAGAATTACTGAGAATTACCCATGGATTTTGCATTACTCACGATTACTCACGGATCGTCGGATTACTCACCAATTACTCATTACTCACGTTTTACTCACCGGTGCTCAAATTACTCACGATGTGAGTAATTACTCACGAATCGGCAGCCCTGCCGCAAACGTCTGCAGGTGTCCGCATCCAGGCGAATTCTTGTGTCCGCTTCGCATCCTCGAAATTAAGCCCCGCCCACTCCAAGTCATCCGCAAAATAATAAAAGACGATTGCAGACGCCTGCGGACCGCGAAGTGTCCGCTGCAGACGAAATAAAAGACGGCTATTGCCTCGCTGATCGCTCCTAGAGACTCTAGGAGCGAGAAGCAAAGCAATAAGCACTGGAGTTCGAGGTTACCCTAGTACCGACCTACGTCACAGGGTAAACAAACCCCAAGATGCAAACACCTCCTTTTTCTTCTCTGTGCTGATTTTGGAGTCGGATTTTAGCAGCGCAACGTGGTGGATTTTTTTGGAACTACAGCTGAAGGTTAACCTTAACCGGAGAACCAGAGATGGAAAATTTCATGAAATTTATTCGAATGAAATTTCACGCGTGAAATTTCATGAATTTTTCCACGAAATTTTATGCTTGTTGAAACTTTTGCGGATACATTCAGGAGGCTATGAAACGCCTGGAAACAGTGATTCTAAATTTTGAAATTTTTTACCCCACCCCAAGCCTAAAACATCCGCGCGTTGCAAATGTTTTCTTTTGGTTTGGAAGTAAGGAGGTTAGGTTGGGGTTCTTCTCTCTAAACTCCCCTTTTTGCCCCCTCTTTGTGTCTGGCACCTTCAGTAGAGTAGCATAATACCGCAGCATCAACAGAAAAACCATCTGAAACGCTATCAGACCTCCAAAGGTTTAATCAATAATTCTAAAACAAAATGAATAAATTTCAACTTTTGTGAAAATTCGAGCCTTATGAAATTTCACTTTGCATATCTGCGGAGAACCACTGAAAATCGAGTTCTGAGGGCCAGGCCCGCCACAAGGTTGGGGGTACTGGGTCCAAGGCATGGACCAAGAGAATAAATAAGGACTCCCAACTCCCTATGCTAACCTGTGTTAAAAACCGTTAACGCGCGCTCGCAGCGAACCTGGCAGAGGGTGCGGTGAACTAACGCCACAGCGGTCCACGATCGTACCTCTATAGTATGTTATTCCATGCAATGTTCTTTGTTTATCTATGATATATTTATTTGTTTGGATACTTTGATACATTTTACTTTCGCAAACTAATGAAATAGTATAGATACATACCTTCTGCAGAGGTCAATGCGAAAGACTTTGATTTGAAGTATCTTATCATAACACGAGCAAAGATGATTCAGTCAACTTCTGACGCAGAATCAAAGAGACTTGCTAATAATCAAATTAAAGGTAATGCTTGAAGTCAAGTATCTTTGATTTTGTGACACTCAGTTGATTTTATCAGTACAACACTATTTCTCAATCAAAAGATTTCACTTGCGCCTTCGGCCAAAAGTACAATCCTGATTCCTGCTGCACACTACACACACACTTCCTTTGGCTTTCTCAACAGCAGTTGCTGCTGAGTAAAACGGTTAGAAAAAACACTTCACATTATTACCAGTTTATGTACCCGAAGACTGAAATAAAAATGAGAAACTTTTCACACTTAAAACTCTTCAAACCTGCAGGGCGACCACGAGGATACGAGAATCTAGAAACTTCTATGAGCACTGAGTGATAAGCCTAAAAAGGTGGTGCATGGAAATATAAACAGGAAGACCCAATCGTCGGTTTAGTTCACTACACCCTCTGCCAGGGAGCGCTGATGTCAGCGCTAACCGGAGTTGGGGGTCCTTATTTATTCTCTTGGTCCATGTCCAAGGCCTGAACCTAGTGTTCCCAACCTTGTGGCGGGCCTGGCCCTCAAAACTCAATTTTCAGTGGTT